ACAATCTTACATGGGAGGGAAGTAAGCAGGGGGGCACCACAAGGTTCTCTCTTAGGCCCAGTGCTCTTCAGTATCTTCCTAAACTAGACTTAGATGAGGGAAGAGAAGGGGAACTCACCAAGTGTGCAGGGGATGCTAAGCTGGCAGGAATAGCCAACACCCTAGAAGACAGGCTCAAGTTCCAGATGGATCTTCACAGACGTGAACCCTGGGCCCTCTCTAACAAAATGAAATTCAACGTAGAGAAAAGGGAAGTCTCACACTTAGGCAAGAAAAACCCAAAGGACACATATAAACTGGGTGAAACCAGGCTTGAGAGCAGGGACTGGGAGAGGCATCGTGGACTCTTAGTGGACGACCAGCTAAACAGGAGCCAGTTCTGTACAGCGGCAGCCAAAAATCCCAACGCAACCCTAAGCTGCATTAAGAGAGGGATACAATCAAGATCAAGGGAGGGACTAATACCACTCTATAAAGCCTTAGTAAGGCCACACCTGGATTGCTGCATCCAGTTTTGGTCACCATGCCATAAAAAAAGATGTTGAGACTCTAGAAAGAGTGCGGAGAAGAGCAACCAAGAAGATTAGGGGACTGGAGGCTGAAACATACGAACAACGGTTGCAAGAACTGGGCCTGGCTGGTCTAGAGAAGAGAAGGATCGGGGGAGACAGGATAGCAGCCTTCCAATACTTGAGGGGCTGCCACAGAGAGGAGGGGGGGGGGTGTCAAGCTGTTTTCCAAAGCCCATGAAGGATGTAAACTGAGCAAGGAGAGCTTCAACCTGGAAATAAGGAGAACATTTTCTGACAGTGAGAGCAATCAACCCATGGAACAGACGTTGCCTTCGGAAGTTGTGGGAGCTTCATGACTGGAAGCTTTCAAGAAGAGGCTGGAAGGCCATCGGTCAGAAGTGGTGTAGGGTCTCCTGCTTGGGAGGGGGGGGGGGTTGGACAAGGCCCCCTCCAACTCTGTTCATCTGTATCGGTATCTTTTTGGGTCAATGTCTATGGAGGCTCTGAGGCATCCAGGTCACGGTGGTCCCCATGGAGTTTTTCCGAAAGGCAACTGGATTTTCTTGCGTTGGAAAGAAAACGTTTCTCTTCTCATCCACCGAGGAGCTTCTTCAGTTCAGCGTCTTGGATGAGAAGCGAAAGGTTTTCAAGGAAAAAGGCAGGGAAGGCCAGTTGCCTTTTGGAAAAGCATCCCTGGGCCATCTTTGTGACTTGATTTTGACCCTTCGAAACAACAAAACCCAAACTAGGGATGATCTGTAATGGAAGCAGAGGTGAATATGTGTGTGTGTGTGTGTATGTGTGTGTGTATGTATGTGTGTATGTATGTGTGTGTGTGTGTATGTATGTATGTGTGTGTGTGTGTGTGTGTGTGTATGCATGCATGCATGCATGCATGCATACATACATACATATATATGTATATATATATCAGATAAGAAACTAGGATAACGAAGGAGGAGGGGATGCAGAGCTACAGCGACGGAATTGCAAATTCCAACTGAGAAATGCAGCAGGTCAAATGATGGGTGGGGATTTTATTTTATTTTTAAGAATAATCTTTCCACACTTGCCCGAAGCTCAAAGAGAAAAAAATTGTGGGCTTCTCGTTCCGTGGAGTCGCCCAAGTCCAGGCACTGCAAAGCTGGCTGAGGTATATCTTAAAACCACCAAGGTTGAGAAACCCTCTTTTAAAACGTTTGGAAGAAACACTGAAATCTCTTTGCTGATTTGGAAGAAGGGCGAGGGGGGGGGGGGGGGGGGAATCACAAGGAAGGAAGGAAGGGAAGCTTAAACCTCCTCTCCCCCCCCCCAGAGCTGTAAAGGTAGAAATTACCTTGCAGGAGGCTTGATAAATGACTAATTCAAGGTGACAGAGGTTTGGCCTTCCGGGACGGATAAGCCCTTCCCACCTGCTACACGGAGGCGTGTGGTGGGCAATTGTGGAGTTGCAGACTCAAGAGATCTGAAGGGCACCTGATCGCAGTTATATTTCCAAGGAGGAGCTCCTTCACGGACGTTTGAACACTGGGAGGCAGCTGTTCGCTTTCCGTGTTATAATTTTACTATTGCAAATGCATGCATGTGTTGCAAAGGCAGGTGTGTGTGTGTGTGTGTGTGTGTGTGTTTATCGTCATTGATGAGACAATGGGCTGAGCAGCTACATTCCCACGCTACATTTAATCCCGTGGCT